TGGAAAAAACAATCGAACTACACAACATACACCACTTTCTGCTATGCCAGAAGTTACGTTCTCTAAAATGTGAGAACAGGTATTTAACTCTCTCCTCCAAACCTGTTTTTTCACTACACCTCTTCCAAGTGCTTCTGTCAAACACCCGTCTCCTCCCCTGCCTCTTTATACCTTCTGGATTTCCAACTAAGAACCAGAAATAATTCTAGAATATTGGCAGTTCTTTGGAAAGAACTACCTACAATTAATTACTCATACTTTGCCGTAACTTTTACTCTATGAAAAAAAGAATAGCCACATTACCTGACTTAATAGTTTTAGGTTGATCTGATGAACCAGACTTCAGTTCGTCTTTATCTTTTTTCTCCTTTTCATCTTTGTCTTCTGTCTTTTTTGGATCATCTTTTTGGTCAGATTTCTCATCCCTTTTAACACTACCAGGTCTATAGATAGAGATTGATATAGATCAGACTAATTCAGAGTAAGAGAAAAGAAAATAGAAGGAGAATGCTAGTAACACAGTAACAAAGTAGAATTCTAATGTGGTAGGACAGTCATAATTCGATTTGCAAAGATTTCCTTCTACAACTTCCTACACTATAAAATAAGACAATCAGATCATGCTGTCCAGTTGTCATAAACACTTACACGTGATTCAGATGTCTCAACTGGAGCCAAAAGGAAAAAATTCACACCACCATGCGCTTAATGCCCACAAAGCTCCTTATACGACACGACAGTTATGAAGTGCCAATGTGAATTATTTTTGTTGGGCAACTAGGTGAAATAAAGGCAAAAACTTCTCAGCAAATAGCATTTAATAGGAGTTATACCCCAAGAAGATAATTAAAGCAAAGGACTTAGTGTCTTATTCACTCTCTAGGTATCTTTTTCAGCTACTTTCAGTAATGCTAGAGAGAAAAAGCATAGTGCTGAAGAGGAACATGTTCTGAAAACAGGATCTTGGACAACTGATCTTTAACTGTTTGTGACCACAACCACCTGAGAAGGCCCGGAGGGAAAAATTTAACCAAGAAACAGTGACATACTGATCAAAATTCTCAAACAGCCTTTCCTATAGATTTGTGACAGGAAAGCACAACAATCTTTACTAAAAACCAAATATAGCTAAATTAAAAGGTATGCTTGAAAATGCAACTTTCCAATGCCTACCTTAAAGCATAGAACAGAAATGTGTTAAGTTAGGCATTGAACATCAACAGAAGTTTATCTTATACTGAAAGTTGGAAAAATGCATCTATCACTCTTTTTGAATGTTTGCCACAGAAATTCTTAGTGTAACTTTGCTCCCGACAAATGAACATAAACTGAAGAACAGCAAAATCCCTTTGGACAGAGTACTTTTAGAACAGTACCTCTCACTGACTGGTTCTTTCTTTGCTTCATTCTCATTTTTTTCACTTGGCTTCTTCCCAGCAGGTTCATTTTTTGCCTGAAATTAATTTTGCACATCATTAGCTGAGAATGCGGTCTCGATCATTTGCATAATCTGATGATAATGGGATATCTTTGAGGATCAGTACTCACTTTTTCTACAGAAATTATTTTTCCATGTAACTCTGTTTTGTGGAGGTGAGTAATGCACTTTGTTGCTTCCTCAGCTGTAGACATCGTAACAAAGCCGTAACAGCGAGCACCAGGGCTGCGAGCATTGGTGACCACCTTTGCACCGACCACCTTTCCAAAATAAAAGAGGTATTACACTCTAACAAACGCCCGCCCTTTAACAGTAAGAAGAACCAGCTCCATTTTTACTGTTTTATTCCTGCTCATCCTCATTCAGGAAACTTCTATTTTTAAGATTAACAAATACAAAAGGATCGTTGCTTGAAGCTAATCATGCTTCTGTTGCAAAGACAACACTGCAAAAGCTGAATCAACAGATGGGAGCCAAAGACTGAATTCTGTTCTGAAGAAAGCCCGTTAACAAAACAAAACAAAAAAAGAGGCCAACTTTACATCAACAGCATCCTTTTGCTTAAGTGTAAAGGAGTAAAAACCTAATAAAAATTTGTAAGCTCATTTCCACTCACATGCTAATGCTAGCTCAACTGTTAAGTCCCATCTCCTTTCAAATATGTTTTCATGTCACTGCTAAGAGGCAGACCCACAATGTTATCTGCAATCTTGTTTAAGAAACGGGAAGTTTCCCTAAAAAGTTTAACTTGAGAAAGCCCACATAAAACACCTGTTTTCACAAATGATGTTTACTTACGCTCATATATTCAATACAGCTTACTTTGTATTACAGAAATCAATCGTATTTCACAGAGGTGTCATATTTTAAAGTACAGTTGAATAAAGAACATACTTTTGAGCATTTGATTTATTGCAGATGTACATCCACTTCTAGGAAGCTTTGCCTCTGTTAATACTTCAAAGAAAATAACAGTAATTTTATTTAAACAACTAAACGTTACCATGGCGTCTAAGTAGAGGCAAATACTCGGTTGGCTGTGGCACAGTTTTTAATTACATTTAAAATTTTGTGGTACATCTCTATGATCAATGTTCCAGGTTACCAGATGGAATTCTGAACAAATAAATGGAAGGAAAGCATTGCATTTTTATTGTTACAAGGAACGTTAAAAGGGTTTTACTAGTCTCATGACTTTCAGACAAACTCAAAGCTGTGCTACACATAATCCATTTTTGTATCTATTGTAAAGTCATGTTTAAGTTCTAGAGTATTTTCACGAGTTAAACATTCAATAGCGGATTGCTACCACGTACAGTTTTCTTTTACTACAATATGCTGACAGTCATCTTTAAATAGGCTTCAAAGGTCTGACAAAAATCCTTACTGATGTCACTGACATCAGTCTTCTGTTAAACTAGCTCTTTCAATTTCCCAGCTGACAGGGAGATTTAAATTGCCATTTTGTCTATCATTAACAACTTCAGGAAACCTTCCTCTCACAAACCAAACATGCTCCCTCCCTGCAATCCTACCCAAACAAGTGCTTTTTAAAACAATTGCCAATTGTAGACAAAAATAAAATGTCAGGTACCAAGGCAATTCTTAAGATTTTCCCCAATAGTCATGTTTCAATATTTACTGCATGTTTTACTTAGTCCCAAGGAAGTCTTTAATAAATGTTACATTCACTGTTGACTCTGAATTTCCAATGAGTGAAGATACTCTACTACAGCATAGGAGATAACAGTATGTGTAAACAGTCATTGACTGTTTCAAATAAAGGGCTGTAAATGGAATTTTGTATTTGTTTGGAAGTGAGTGACAATAAAAAAAGCAGTCATTCAGCATGTACTTTGGCAATTTTTTGCTTGATATCCCACAATACTTTGGATAATTTGATTCCTTTCACTGGTATTTTCAGTGACAGGAGCTTAAGAAGTCTTATTAAGACAGTTTCAAGTGAAAAAAACAAAACAAAACAAAACTCTTACCTTCCCATATCTGCTAAACAGATTCTTCAAATCTGTAGCTCTGGTAGTGGAAGCCAGTCCACTCACCCAAAAGTTTCTACCAGAACCGCTAGCAGTGCGACCTAAGTAGGAAAACAAATGAACAGAACCAAAACATACACCAAATCCTCATTATTTCAGCAACTACTTCTGAACTAAAAAGGAGTAGTTCTACAAATATTTTATTTTTTTTTAATTGCAGAGCAAATGAAACGCAATACATAACATTGTCCCGCTGTGACTCGCATTCCTGAAGGCAAATAGTATTACAAGTGCAAATATTTTAAGATGGAACTACAAGCTTTGACACACGCAACAGAAGTCTGTTAAGTCCTACTTCTCTGAAGTAACCGTGGCTCTTTAGAATGTGCCTGGAGAGATCCCAGTAACTGCACTTGAAGGAAAAGACAGAAGACCTGCTAGATTTGCGGGAACTGTGTTAGTACCCATGTACGCTCAGCGATTAAAAAGTGTTCGGGCTGAACTCCAAGTTTTAGCACTTGCATTTCAGTGTGAATCACTTCTGCAGGGATACTGTTTCCAGTATCCTTTGGAATGTCTTTACTGTCCTTTTATCAGTCTTGGTAGTGTTCAGTTCCAAGGCTTCAATGAATGGACTGAAGCAGGTTTCAGTTCAGCTACCTGCTTCCAAAGCATCTGCCTTTTATTTTTTTCTTTTGGTGATATATGGAATTTCTCTGTGCTGCTTTCATCAAGGGAAGACATTTCTTCCAGAACTTTTCTAAGACGCTATTTTGTTTGAATGTCTTTCCACCTCTTACTTCCTGATAGTTTTTCGTAGTCTCAAACATGAGCTTAGCACTGAGAACACTGTTGTTAATATTTATACAAGTTCCCTAGGGAAGCATGCAATCATTTGTACCAATGTCTTTAAAAAAAAAAAAAAAAAAAAAAAAGAGGTCTTTTGTATAAAGGAGACTCAGCCTACACCTGTCATCTTCCAGTCTCTAGAACTGCATGGACAAAGGTGTGTCATGCACATGGGAGATAAATTGTCTTGGGGTTTCGAACAGCTGAGCCATAGGCTTTAATGCTTTTATTCCATCAGCTTCCTCTAGAAAATGGCCACATGTGGTTACACTGGCACCAGCATCCTAGAGAAAAACGAGCACTTCCTTCTATTTTACCAACTATTTTTTAGATTATTTAAACTACATTAATGCCCTTTTTGAATAAGCTTCGATTAGGCTCAACATCTTCAGTTTTTGCCCTCCCATAAGACTTCAAGAGGTGTTCCTGCAATGGTACTGCGTTTCCAAGACAAAGAAAGACTGAGACTACAAAATCTTCTCCAAGTTAGAAACTAGAATGACATAGGTATTGGGGGCCAACCTGCAACACTGGCGACATCTTTCAGATATGCATAGGTCGACTGCCAAGTCCACCAGACTTAAGAGCTCATAAATTTACTACATTCTTATTAATACAGCTTTCATAACAAATGCAAGGAAAATGGAAAACTCCTCCTCCTAAATAAAATCCTTTCATACAGGTGTGGAAATAGCAACCTATGAGTCAGAACTGACTTGTATATAGTTCTGTACCTTTCCTCTGTCTCAACTGCTCTGCTCTGCATGCAGTTACATAATCAAGTAGCTACCTCTCCCCAGTGCTTTTTACTAAGCCAGAAAACTATTTAAACAAATGTTATGGAACACAGCATATCCTTTGGAGGAAGGTATGCAGGGGAAAGGTTGTTGTTATTAGACATCCAAATTCCTGGAGGCTATTTTGAATGCAACCTTGAAGAAGAGTTTTCCTACTCCACAAAAAAAATAAAGTAATTGGGTAAATGACTGCATGCACAAACCACTCCTTTAAATATTCTGAAACAGGAGGAGACAAGATTACAGACTGTAAGCAAGAGGAAAACAGACCCTAATGGAGCTGACGGTGAGGTCCAGTAGCTCGCACAGACAGGTATAACCCCAGATGTTGGAAAAAGCAGCTGACACGGAGTTCAGTCTGTGTCGTTAACCCCAATTAAAGCCAAACAAATTCTTCCTGTCCAGTCAGTAGACAGATCTCATAATGAGTTTCTTGCCTATTACAGGAATTGCTGGAACTTCCACGCTTACCATGCTGAACTACCTGCCTGCAGTCTGTAAGAAGGTGTTTAAGAGTCAGTTCTAAATTTTCTGTCCCGATCAGGTAGGAGAGCATAGAGAGGTGGAGTGAGCTGCAAAGACTCAGAAGCCTGATGTGTTAAAAGGAAGAAGTATGATGAAAAGAAGGAGCAGGCACCTCATGCTGTTGATCAAGAAATTTTCATCTTGCTTATGATGCATATTTGCACCGTAAATAGGATCTGCGTGGACAAAGATCTAATAACATCAATCTGATCTGAAGACAACGTTAAGCTGTAAGCTTCTGTGGCATTTAAACATGTGAATACTAGATTCCAAGTTATTTCAGCAGAACAGAAGACGGTATGAAGAACCACAAGTGTATAGTAAAGTAAACACAATTGCAAAAGGCTCTTGACTCACTTACACCTGTTAGTAAGCATTGTCAATGCCATGGACATATTTGCCATGTATTAACATCTACTTTTGAAAAGATATAAACCAAAGGGTGCGACACAGACATCCTTAGGAAATGCACAAAAGGAAAATAGATTTTCTGGCATAGATAGATTTTAAAAAATCCACAAAGAAGCGACTAATTTATTACATTTAACAACTGCATAGATTCCAGTGTTTTTCTGCTGAAATACCCAATCCAATACAAAACCAGTTTCTCCAAGCAATCATTAAAGTTCTATTTTTGAAAAAAAAAACCACATACCTTTCTCATCTTTTGAGATTATCTTTGTATCTCTGTCCTCCTCAACAGGGCTAAAGACAAAACACCACGTTATTCAAGTCAGAAAGAAACGTGACTAACTATAAATTATGAAAAATGCTAAAATTAAATACCTACCAGAAAATACATTGCAAACGAAAACACACCTTTGTATAGTTGATTTAAGAAATCTGACAAGAAATAATGAAGTCAGATTCTTAAACAGAGTTATATAAGGAAGACGTTTATAAATAACAGTAAGAAAACAACCGTTGAAGGTTGAGGAAGGAA